ACAATGGGGTACCGGGTTGAGTGCTACATAATGTGTAAATGCATCAAAAATGACCATTATATATGAGTTTCCTTCTGAGGATGGTGAAATTGGTCCTTTTGTGTCAAATGATACTCTGTGATAAAAATATAGACTTTGTCCTTTAAAATTTTGTTTTTCTGCGATTTGTTTTTGATTTGGATAGGGTTTATTTAATTGGCATATTATACAATCGTTGCATAATACTTCAACCCGAATTGGTGCATTGAAAATTTTGGAAAAAGTTAGAATATGTCTTTTTTGATCCTGAATGTCATTTAGTGTGAAGTATTGAATGCTATTAAAAGTAGACAAGGTACTTCAGAATCAGGTAGGTGTTTGATATTCTAAATTATCTGTGTTTTCGTTTATAGTGTTTTGTTTCCTAAGATTGTGGTATCAGCTTTGGTTGGCTTAGTTTTGTATTTGTGCCATGATTTTAGCTGTCTGATGACGGGATCAAGGTTTTGGTATTTTGTAATAATTATAGTGTGATTTTTCTGTTGTTGGTAGAAAAAATGTTTTTTACTTCTATTTTTGATAGGGGTATCGTGTCAAGTGGATCATGTAGATTAAAAACTTGATTTATTGTGTATTTTGTATCGTTTGGTAACGGTACTGATGAATTTATTGGTTCCGTTTTCTTTTTCTAATAAAGGAAATGGGCCTTTTTAATGTAGTAGTTGTTTAATTTTTTGAGTTTTGTTTTTGATCCGAATTGAATATGGAATTGGCTTAATTGTGGATGTGCCCAATTAATCAACTTCATAAGGGTTATTTTGACAATCAAATTAGAGTGGAAAATGTTGTAGGTTGTTTGTTTGCGATTGTTTTATGTCAGTTTTTACTGCATATTTACATTCTAATCGTGGTGAAGTTTCATCTTTAGCGAGATAGAATTTTATATTTTGTGGTATTTCAACTGTTGTTTTTCTTGTTAGTAGTTCAGGTGGTGTATTTCTTCAAAGAGTGTCGGGTAGTGCAAGGTTTTTTTCTGCTGTCCATACTATGTGTAAGTTTCGAATTTTCATTAAAATTAGTTAAAATCTATCAACTCTATGGTTTGGATTTGATTTTTGTGTAAAGAGAAACATGATAGCTTTATGACCTGCAAATAAAACTGTTGGATGTTTTGATCCAAGTATCAAAAATTCCTTTTCGGTTAGAGTGTGTATGATAGCTGTGCATTCTCTCATAAGAGTAGAGAGCCGTAATTCAGCTTGTGTAAATAGGCGAGAATTTGCTGATATAAGATTCATTTTATATGTTCCATTGTGGGATTGTAGTAATGCTGCACCAATGCCAAAAAATGAAGCATCGCACATTGCTTAAAATGGTTGATTGGGATCTCGGATTGTGTTTGAGATTTGTTCTGTGAGCCGTTTTTTGATTTCTTCAAATCGTGTTTGATGTTCTGTTGTCAATTCAAAATTATTTTGTTGTCTAAGGATGTTTCAGAATGGTCTTAAGTATAATTGCATTTTTTTTGACGTATTTACTTAAGAAATTTAACATTCCAAGAAATTCTAGGATTTTCTTTTTTTTGAAGGTGGCTGGAGTTTTTGAATTGCATCAATTCTTCATTTCAGTGGGGTTATAGTGTTTTTCTCTATGATGTGTCCTAGAAATTTTACGCGTGTTGAAAAAAAATATGATTTATCTGGTGGTGCTTTCATGTTTTCGTTTTCTGAATTTTGATGAAATTTTTCTAGAACTATGAACATTTCATCTTTTGTTTGTGATTGCATAAAGATATCGTCTGAATTGGTGATTGCCTTTCTTTTTATTGAGTATAAGTGGTCTAAAAAATTTGCTCATAAATGCTGAGTCCTATGGATATGCCATAGAATAATCTCTTAAAATCGTATTGTTGATTTCCAATAACGAATTGTGTTAATCGTGTTGATTGTTCTTCTAGTGGCATTTGATTATATGCACTATTCATGTCTGCGGTTATGAAGTATTCACCGTTCATTTTTGTTAGAATTACTTGGTTCTATTGGCCAATCAGATTTAGATTCATCAATGAGTGAATTGAGATATCTAGCGTCTAGAACTATTTTCAGTGATTCTCGTTTGGCGAGAATAATAACAGGGTTAATAAAGGTGTTTCCTTTTGGCTGTTCTTCTTTATTTACAGGAGACATGATTTCGTATTGTTCTAGAATGTCGAGTAATCTATTAACTTTGTCATGTAAGTGAATTGCTACTTTGCTTGCTCTTTGTTTTTTTTTAGAAATGCGTCAGGTTTCAAGGGTAGATGTAGTGGTGAATTTATCTCTTAACATCAAACTCAGATGTTGGATAAGCTGTTGCACAAACTGTTGGATAGCTGTTGGATAGCTCAACAATAAATCGACTAGTTTTTCAAATTCATTTTGTGTGCTTTGAGAGTGTTGAAAATTTAACATTGTCAAGCGTTTTTGTTGTTGTTCTGTATAGTGTGATATTTTGAATGTTGCTTTAAAATAAGGTGTTTTTGTGAAATAGTTTGTGTTCCTTTTTTCATTGCTTATCATATTATTTATTTATAAGTCCTCGTCGAGAATTTTCGATTGACATTTATCTAGTATTTGTAATATATTATTTACTCTGTATGCTACTTCTTTTGTGGGGGCAGTTGTTGCATTGGTTTCACAATATCCTAGGAGTCCTAAAGGTAGGTTTATTTTCTATGGTGAATTATTACAAACATGTAGAGAAATGAAATCGGAATTTGAGTTTTTCATGTATTTTATGAATGAAATTGTTACCCCAAAGAATTTGTGAATTGGTCTAATCTCAAGGTCAGGCATATAGAGATGTTGCCTATGCCTATTTTGATTTTCGTCGTATTGGTGTACTTGTTTGATCGGAAATTCGTAAATGTATCCTGAGAGTGGTTTAAGATGTTTTCTTTTTTCATTATAGATGGGGTAAGACTTTGAAAAGAATGGTGGTTGTTTGTTCATTCTTTGGAAGAATATTAAAGCTGTGTTTTGCATTCTTGTATAATTATTTTTTATATTAGTTTTGCTGTCTAATCTATTAGTAGTTGGAATGTATTTTGTGATGAATGGAATTCCAATAAAATTATGTTTTAATTTGTGACTTGGAATGTTTGTTTAAATGGTTTATTTAGGAGTTTATTTTGTTCAATTGTTTTAGTGGGAACAAGGAAGAGAGACAAAAATTTCTCTGTAATTTGTTAAGGTTGAGTCTTGTGCTGTTGCTAGCCTACTGGCTGTTTTGATAGGTGTTAGTTTGGGGTGTAGAATTTTGATTTCATTCCAAGTTGGAATCATAATGATATTTAATTCTGCTCCAGAGTCTATTAAAAAATCTATTTCAAGGTCTGATGGTTGAAATTTTTTACTTTGGACTTTCTGAAAGAGGGGAGAGTCCAAATTTTCTCTTCTGGTGGTTGTTTTGGTATATTTTGGTAAATGTGATTTGTATTAGAACATGGTACTTGTTCTTTTTCAGGTTCGTGTAATCTCGTTACTTCATTTACTATTTGTTCGATTGGTATGTTACTTTTTCGAGGTCTAGTGTGATAATCTAAAAGTAATTCCAAGTGATTTTCAAGAATATGTGAATGAAAAGGTTGCTCCTATGTAACAGTTTCATAGTCATTTTCAACTTCTATCATGTTGACTAAAATTGTGATTTCTGTATCACTTTCACTCTCTGTAGATTCGCAATTAATGTGATTTAATTGTAATTCATTAGTTTCTGAGTTGCCATTACCAGGGGGGTCTGAATTTGTTTCTTCAGTTGTTTGTACTTGATTTATTTTTCTCTGATGTTTTGGTGTATTGCTTCTGTATTCTTTTTGAGAATCTGGATAACGTGTTTTATTTCTATTAGGTGATTGAGAGTAGTTTCTCTGTCTATCGTTATAGTTTGAATTCCTATTTTTATGAATTTTTTCGTGATCTATTTTGATAATTGTTATAATTAGATCTTTGGTGATTTGATCTGTTATTTGAGTAATCTCGTGATCGATTATTATATCGTTGATTTCGATTAGACGAATAGCTTATGTTTCTATTGCTGGAATAATTTCTGTGTCTATTGTACGATGAAGTTCTTGATCTATCATTTGAATAGTGTCTATTCCTAGAGTGTGAATGGGAACTGGCGTCAAACGAATAACTTGGTCTATTTGAGTTTGATCGTAAATAATTATTTCGATATTGAGTATTTCGACTGGGTGATCGACTATATCTGTTTTGTGAGCAATTACGTGAATTCCTTTGTCTGGTGATCTACCTCTGTATTTAGAGTTATAAGGTGATTGATTTTTTGAATAATTTGAGCTGTTTGAAAGCGGTTTTTCAGAGCTAATACTACTGTGAATTTTTTATTTGGTAGGTTTTGATTTTTTTTCATGTACTAATGAAAAAAAAAATTTTGTATTTTTTCGACCACTGCGACTAATTTTTTTTCGACCACCGCGACTAATATTTCGACCACCGTTACTAACTTTTCGAACGCCGCGACTATTTTTTTGACTGCTTCAACTAATTTTCGAGCGTCAAGACTAATTTTTGACCGCCGCGACTAATTTTTCGACCACCGCGACTAGTTTTTCGACCGCCGCGACTAATTTTTCGACCGCCGCGCCTAATTTTTCGACAGCAGCGACTAATTTTTTGAACGCCATGACGGATTTTTTGACCACCGGGACTAATTTTTTGACCGCCGCGACTATTTTTTCGACCACCGCGACTAATATTCGACCACCATTACTAACTTTTCGACCGCCGCGACTAATTTTTTGACTGCTCCAACTAATTTTTGAGCGTCAAGACTAATTTTTGATCGCCGCGACTAATTTTTCGACCACCGCGACCAATTTTTCGACCGCCGCGACTGATTTTCCGGGACAGACAAAGTCGAAAAGTTAGTCGTGGACCTCGACCCGCGGACTGCGTGTTCTTTCTCCTGCCAAGAACCAACTTGGCATAATTTTTGCTATTTGCATTGGTTGGCCTTAGGGCGGGACAGTGTGCAAGCCAAGTACCAGGTGAGCTGCCCAGTTGATGGCAAAGGGGGCAAGAAGGTGGAAGAGAAGAAGGAGCTGGAGTTGGAGGGCGAGGAAGATGTGGCGCTGCTGGATCAAATCAGGAGCAGGTTTAAGGCCAACACCCTCACCCAGTTCAGTCTGCACGTGTTTGAGGAGCAGCTCCAACAACTGGATTACACCAAGTCCGGAGTACTGACCAAGAAAGAGGCAAGTGAACATCCACCACCAACGCCATAACCGTTCATCTACTACTTTTTCCAAAACAAATCTCTCTCTCCTTCATATTGGCTCTGCTCCTGCTTCCGATTTAATTTTTCAAAAGAAAGTCAATGAAAGAAGAAAGAAGTTTCATTTCTATCAGGCCGACAATACTAGAGAAATCGATAAAAAGTGTTCAAAAAATCTGGAACAAAATGCAATGAAACTTAAGAACCGTCCCACCTAGCGGACTGTATATAAGTATGCGTCGCTTATAGATGCGTCCTGAGAACTTGGCTTTTAATTTTAGTAATTCCAGAGTCATATAAGTTCCTTGGCTTCAGCTAGAATTTTCTTTTTGCGATCTCCCGGGTTGACCAAAATGTGCAACCATACGTCGCACCATGCATGGTTCCATGGAATCCATGAAAAATTGCCGACGTATTTGTAAAAATAAAAAAATAACGCATTTTCCATGCATGACGCGACGTATGATTCCACATTTTTTAAAGAATGGGGACTTCAAATTTGACAATATTGATACTTTTACTAGGGCTGTTGATAATTTATATGTCACCATCGAAGCTTGCAATGTATGGTTACTATGGTATCATGCATGGCGCGACGTATGATTTGCATGGTGAAAATTTTTGATTTTTTACCAACAGCTTGCATAATGATGAGAAACCGTTTTAATACTAATCTACTCCATTAAAAAGGAAACTTGGAAACTTATATATATCTTTACAAGATCTTGCAAGAATCTTGCAAAATCTCAGCAAGATGCACATACACATTGTCAAGAATCATGCAAGAATTCCGCAAGATCGTGCAAGATAACCATTGACTAGGGAATAACTTTCATTATATTGGTGACTGATCAAAGAAAACCCGCGACGCTTCCTGCGTACTGAAATGAATGTAGCCAAAATCAATTCGATCTCAGCATGAACGTTCAACAAACTTCTGGTTAAAAACTTAGTAAAACGAGACTGTTCCTATCCGATCTTGCAGGGCCTTTGGAGCAGTAATAACATGAAAAAATTAATTGTAATCAAAAAAATTGAAAAGAAAAAAATTAAAATATGAGGTTTTTGTAAATCATCCTCCCACAGACCACTGAAACAACAAAGTGATAGATTCAGCTCCTAGTAACAAGTTGAGTTTAGGCCTGGGGTAGCTTACTTATAGAGTATATTCAGTACACGGTCTGTTCGTCACGCTATCTTTTTTTCGACCGGATATATATTCGTGCAACTTCATAGTCTAATGCCAATCTTAATCTTACTCTTATATCTCCTAGTCTCCATAGCTCTAGTGTAAACTGGTATTTGCGGTTTAGGTTTATGGAACTTGTTCCAAAGGAGAACAACTGTCTTCTAAGATTATTTCAAATTGTTCTGGTGCTGAAACTACAAGGAGTTTCAGCACTAAAAATAACTTTCAGTGTTATTTATGGATCATGATTGGTTAGTATGTAATTTTTTATAGAGACATTTTTATCAAAAGCATGATCGATTAGAAATGGTAGTTTTAAACTGGTTCCACTCATCCGGAAAAATGCAGTTGTCCGTGTTTCAGAAGTGGGTCTCGTTTTATCATGGGTCGTCTTGAGTGATCGTGCCGAGATTTCAGATCGATGCAATGATGTGTCAATTTGAGAGCGAGCCTAGGTGCAAGATGAAGATTCACCTTTCTATGTGAAGTGCCAAAAGACTAGGCTCTGAATGTGAGATCAACATTGATTTTGCCATAGTTCTTTTTTTCAATGGTTTCCTTCGCCGCGATCTTGGGTCAATACTTCAAATGCTGCGAGGGTTGTCACCACGACAACAAACCAATAGATTTGCCATTCCAGAGTCTATTTTGGTTGTTTTCAAGATTCGCTCCTCCTTGAGCACCTCCCGTCAAAAATAGAGTGTGGGTCGTATGCGTGGTGTAGCCCGGTGGATTGGGCCGGCTATAGAGCATGCTCAGCACGTTCTACTGGGTGGTGAGGCCAGCGAGGGAGTATAGCTCTACCGTCTCTTTGAGCAGTGTCCCTTTTTGTGGTCAATTTTTTTTTACCAGGGGTTGTTCTGTTTTTTGCCTTGTTTTTTTTTCTTATTAAAAACAAGTTGTTTTGTTTTGGTTTCTTTTGGCTTTTCATTGTTTCAAGTGATTTTGATGAAAAATGAAAGAGGGTTTCAAAGGAATAATTTATCCAGTTTTAATCTGAGTTTAATCTCGTCTGAGTACCGTGGGGCTTTCTTATACATGCGGTTGATTTTGTGTTGTTGGTAAGCTGCGTTGGTTAGTTCAAGCTTTAGTTATAATTCCTTCCGACCGGTTTATAGAAAAGTTAGAAACGCGTGCAAACAAGTTGGAGTTGTTATCAGTTAAACTTGAATTTTGAAATTCTTCATTGAACAATACTACGTGGGCGAGTTGTGCGCGTTTACTGGAACGAGTGTGTGAAATATGGGCGGGTAAACAGATTATTTTGAAATATACAAAAAAAGCTTACATAAAAAGGTTGCTTTCGTAATTTATTTTCATTTTATTAATTAACTGCTTCGAACTGTTAGAATTTTAATGCGGAGTTATTTTCCAGCGTTGATTATTTTTCTAATGAACAAAATGTTCTGCTTGTTGAGGGCTAGTATTGGGTCGTCCTCATTTGGGATGTTTTCCATATATAGGGTTAATGCATGGTCGTAATGATTGATTGAAAATTGGTTGGCTTGTTGTTCTATAAATTGATTGCGAGTCTGGTTTAATCCGATGGTGCTGAACTGTTTCGTGAAGTGCAGTGGTTAGTTTATGAAGAAAAGAGTGACATAGTTCATTGTCTTCGGGTGTGTTGTTCAAGGGAAGGCCTAATGGGATAGTAGGTTGTCCAAAAGAGTGTAGGAAACAGGACGTTTTCGTAAACGTATAAGTTTTGTTGATTGTAGTCACCGGTCGAATAGTATGTACATTGATGGAAAAATGGTAAGTTTTGAAGTAAAAAATTTTTGGCGTTAGAATGTTGTTGATGATGGGCATTTAGTCGGGATCCTTGTGGACGGCTAATGAGAAAATGGGGTGAAGGGTTAGGATGTTTTCCTTTAAAAATCCTTGGTGCTCTGGCGGGTGCAAAAAGGACTGAACAAAATGAGGATTCGGTTGCTGAGGCTGAGTGTGTTAGTTGGTGAAGTTTCAATTCAATTTTTGTGTCATGATGGTCTTGTTGTTATTGTTATAAAATTATCTAATTCATGTTCAAATTGGTTATCGGTCACGGGGCTAGTTGCATCGGGTTGATCATTTGACATTGGGAAAGGATAGGGGTAGCATCAGTGTATGAAGAGGGGGAAGGAGAGAATTCATTGGGAAGCTGGTAAGTAAGGTGTTGGAAATGTGGTTTCTACATCTGAGTTATTAATATTAGATTTGATATTAAGAACCGTTTGAGTTGAGTCGTCTAAACCCATGCGTGGTGAATAGAGGAAAAACTGTAAGTCTAAATTTTTAGTCAATCATGCAAGGGAAATCTTAGGTGAGTGAAACACTTCATTGGATATCTTTAGAAGAGGTCAAACTCAACCAAATCTTCACAAGCTCTAATTTGTAGTAAAGTCTCACTTGTAAGCAAATGAAAACTGTTTCCGTATCCCCGATCCAAAATTTCCTCAACATTTTTTTTCTTTGAAACAAATGAAAACCCGTTTTTTTCTCGAAAGAATCTTAGACACAGCGAAATCTTTTCAAAAATCTCTGATTCTGTTATTCTCAAGTTCTCTCCAATCCGAAAGATCTATGATTAATCGTTTTTTTCTATGATTGTTTTCAACTTTTGGAATAGGTTACTGTTTCCGTGTAATGACTTATAGGATAGATTTCTGTGTAATGACTTCTCATAAAACTCTAAGTGTCATTGTGTAGATTCTAGAAGTTGATGACATCATTTTCTCGAGAGAAAACTTTTCTCTGTTCTATGGAAGTTTCTCGGTTCAGTTTTTGATTATTTTAAAAATTTGTTGCCAAAAAAAACGATCAGAGGACTACATTTAGAAGCTTGATTTTAACGAGACGCTCGGCTTAACTTAGTTGGAAAGGATTCAAAAATTTCAATACTCATACTTGAATTTGCTCAAAATTGTTGATTTTTACCTTGATTGTTCGGTAACTAGGAACGTGTCATTTTTTCTTTGAACCTCTAGCATATATCAAACTTAATTGTTTTTTAATATGAAACACTTTCAATATTTTATGTAAATTTTAACGCGTGTACGAAAAATTACTCGGATTTTTTTTTGCAAGACGCAATTATCGATTTGGGTTTTCCAACAAGTTCGCAAATTACTAATTCATTTTTACGAGGGGCAAATTTTTTTGAAATTTTTGGTAAGTGTGCGAAGTTAATGACATCGTTTTCTCGAGTGAAAACTTTCACTGTTCTATGGGTTTTTCTCAAAATAATTAGGAAAGTTTTAGCACATGCGAAAAATGCTAAAATTAAAACGCGTTAAAACGCTAAAAAAACGCGTTAAACTATTGTTAAATAAACTTCGATTTTATTGAGTTCTAGTGCTATTCCCTATCTTAAAACATTTTATTCGGATGTTTTTATCAACATAAAAGCCAAAATTGGATTCCTTAACAATCAAATTAAGAACAAAGAAATACATTGAATTTAATTATTAACAATGTAAAAAAAACTTGTTACAGTTTTCTTTAAATTACGAATTATTTTAATGAAATTTTTTAAATAAATGCGAAAATTTGTTGATTTTTTAAAAGTGTGCTCAGCATTTTTCAAAAAGTAATCAACATGCAGAAAATGGTTTGATTTTCTAACAAGTTAGCAAAAATTTTCATGTTTTTTTTTTGCGTGAAATTTAGGTTTTTCGTGGTTTTTTGAAAAATCTATGCAAAAACCCTTTTTTTTGTTGGTAATGAGAATGCAAAGAAAGAATACAAAAAAACTTTATCGTAAGAAACTGCTTATTTTACTTCTAAAAATTAATCAATATTGCTGACTTCGAGTGCTATTCGCTTTTTAAATACGTTGTTTT